GCTCTGTCACAGGCCCTGCCCCCACTCCACCCCTTCCCGCCCCCTCCCCTGAGCCGGCCGTGCCCCCGCTCCTCCCCCCACAGAGCCTCCTGCACGCCACGAAACAGCTGATCCGGAGGTGCAGGGATGGAGGCGGAGGCGCTGATCGGCAGGGCTGCCGATGGGTGGGAGGCGCTGGGAGCGGGATGGGGGAGCGGATGGGGGGCTGCTGACATATTATTGTGGCTCTTTGGCAATGTACATTGGCAAATTCTGGCTCCTTCTCAAACTCAGGTTGGCCACCCCTGGGGGGGTCCCGACCCTGTTTGAGAACCCCTGGTCTAGAGAATCATAGAATCATAGATTATAGGACTGGAAGGGACCTCCAGAGGTCATCGAGTCCAGTCCCCTGCCCGCATGGCAGGACCAAATACTGTCTAGACCATCCCTGATAGACATTTATCTACTTAGTCCTGCCCCGTGTTCAGGGGACTGGATTACGTGACCTCTCGAGGTCCCTCCCAGCCCTACGACTCTGTGATTCTATGATCTCGTTCACAATATCTTTATGAAGGCTGTGTGTGCCTCAGTTTCCCCACATGCTGCACTGTTACCTGGGGAGGGGGAAGGCCTGTCTGCTCTCAGGGCAGGCTGGGAGTCGCTAGCTGCAGGGGCCCTAACCTCATAGCAGTGCAGCATGAGAGGACAATGGCAAATCCAATGGCCAGGACATGGACACCCAGGAACCCAAGCTCCAGAGAGATCTGGCCCCCCTGAGCTACAGCCCCCAGCTCGGGATCACAGGGCTGCGGGAGGGGGGTTACGTGGGGCTGTGGGAAGCAGTCGGGCTCTCACCTGGAATCTGACCAGGGAGGCCGCACAGACAGACAGAGCCGGACCCCAGGGTTCCCCACAGCTGGACTGGGCTCGGGGCTGGCCAGGATGGACCCTGCTTCACCCTTCATTGTCCCGGGCTGCCCTAAGGCCCTTAGGCCAGGCACCCGCTAACGACTGAACCCGGCTGTGCCCGCGCTGGGAGTATCCCTGCCAGGGCTGGGCGAGGGGCCCTGATCCCTGCGAGCAGCCGAGTCTCCCTCAGGGGTGTCTCTGGGGGACTCGCTGCCCAGAGCTCACGGGGGGGCTGCAGGTCCAGAGGGCCAGTTTAGCAGGTGGTGAGGCCACGTGGCTCACACTGGAGGCAGAGTGGGACCCCCAGGGGGGCTGGCCCAGTGAAGGGGCCTCCCAGAGACCGTCCCAAAGCTGGGGGCGCAGCCCCGAGCCTGTAGGTCTGTGACAGGGGGCTAAGCTGGAAGGCGGCTGGGTGGGACAGGGCTGGGCTGGAAGGTGGGTGGCTTAGATGGGAGTGGGGCTGGAAAGTACCTGGGTTGGACGGGGGCAGGATTGGATCAGACGGGGCGGGGCTGGAGAGGACCTGGGTTATACAGGGGTGGGGCCAGCCCCCCACCCCCACGGCAGGTCCGGAGTCGCCCCAGGGCCAGCGCGGTCGTTACCTCCTCGGAGCCGGAGCCGGAACCGAAGATGAGCAGGTCGAAGGGGATGGCGGCCACCATGTCGATGAGGAACCAGCCCTTGAAGTAGTGGATGGCGATGCGGCCCGGGTGGCTCACCACCTCCTCGTTGGAGTTGACATAGGTGGTGCGGAAGTTGATGACAATGTCGATGAGGAACATGATGTCCACCAGCAGGTCCACCACGGTGAGCGGGCTGCAGGAGTAGCCGCAGATGTGCCGCAAGTTCTCCTGCTGATCGTTGAGCAGGAAGGCGGCCGAGTAGGGCGTGAAGACGGCCGTGTAGATGACCAGCAGCAGGATGAGCCAGTCCCACACCGCCTTGAAGGGGCTGTAGTGCAGGATGGTCCATTTGTGGATGCGCGGTGCCTGCAGCTTGTACTCCGGGAGCACGTCGGCCCCGAGGGACAGGACCTGCGGGGACACGGGGCTGGGGAGCCGGGCAACGAGCCTGCAGGGCAGGGCCATGGGCATCACGTGGCACGCCCAGAGCCGGGCTCCCAGCATGCAATGCTCCAGCCTGCCCGAGACCCCGCCCACTCCCTGAGGACCACGCCGCCCGCTCGGCCCCCGTCCACTTCCTGAGCCAGGCTCCCAGCATGCAATGCTCCAGCCTGCCCGAGCGCCTGCCCACTCCCTGAGGACCACGCC